GCAACCGTCCTTCACACAAACTGAAGCCTGACTTCCCATCAGTAGAAAGGCCCAGAGATCAAGCCTTGGAACTGGATTAAGGTAGTCTCGGACAGCTAGTGCTCCCAGGTACCTGGCAGAAGCAAATGGGCATTCACTCAGGAGAAAATATAATATTATTCTTCACATTATTTCTTAGTGTTTCAAGGATAAGATTCATAACATCATCAATGACAACCAGAATATGAGTAGACAAGACACTATAAGCAAAAACAGAAACAACAAATAACAGAAATAGACCCACAGAGACTTAAGAATTGGAATTTAGAGGCAAAAACCATAAATTATATTAACTTGATTCAAAGAAATAAAATCAGACTTAAAAACATTATAACTGGAAACTGAAGAAATGAAGTAGCAAATTCGAAAAATAACTTAAAAATTATATAACTGAAACACACAGTAATTGAAATTAAGAACATAGTGGATGTGATAATGGTGGATAAGACAAAACGAAGAGCGCACTGGTGAACTAGAAGACAGATTTTTTAAAACTATGCAAAGATGCCTCAAAAATAGGAAAATGAGAAACAGCCTGAGAAAGATAGCAGATACAGTGAGAAAGTCCCCCCAAAAATGTGGATGGCACAGAGACAATATTGAAGAGATAATAGCCGAGATATTTCTGGAACTGATAAAATATATCAAACCACAGATCATTATATGATTATACCTATTATATAATCAGGATAAGTAAATAAATATCCCATATTTAGACCCATGAAAGTGCAGAAAACAAAGACAAAAAGAAAATCTAATCAGCAGGCAGAGGAAAAAGATCACCTTGTATATATGACAGTGAGAGTGACAACTGGCTTCTTGATACAACTATGGGATCTAGAAGAAAGAAAATAGTTTACAAACTAAATTCGATATGCTGCAAAAATACTTAAGAATACTGGTGAAATAAAGATACTGTCAGGCAAACAAAAACAGAGTTTATCACCAGCATACTTGCACTAAAAGAAAGTCTAAAAATTGTTCTTCAGGCAGAAGAAAAATGACCCAGATTGGAAGCTCAGAGATGGAAGAGGAAAGTGGTAAATATGTGGTAAATCTAAATTAACACATTCTATAAAAAGATTAATAAATATGTTTTGTAGGACATTTAAATTTGTATAGAGAAAATTGAAATTCATAACATATATACATTGAAAAGAGGAAACAGAGTGTATACAAATAGCAAGCACCTTCTACATTTGTTTGCCAACCTCTCCCTCCTCCCCAGGACGTATTTTTGTAAATGTGCTACATAAAATTTTTTTTTTTTTTGTGGCAACATGTAAAAAAATTGGCATAGAGGCTGTCTTAGGCTGGGTTCTCTAAAGAGGCAAAATCAGTGAAACATCTATATATCTATATAATCTATGTAATCTATGGACTCTCTGTAATCTATGGTCGCTCTCTATATATCTCTATATAGATGTCTGTCTATATATATCTCTTTTTGTATATCTCTCTCTGTATATCTCTCTCTATATATGTATCTGTGTATCTCTCTGTATATATCTCTCTGTATCTCTCTCTCTGTATATATCTCTCTCAATCTCTGTATATATGTATATATATCTCTCTTTATATATATCCATATCTCTCTGTATATATATCTATATATCTCTTTATCTCTCTCTATATCTCTATGTATATATCTCTATATCTATCTCTCTATATATATACCTCTCTATATATGTCTATGTATATATCTCTCTATATATATCTATCTCTATATATATATCTCTATCTCTCTATACATATCTGTCTCTCTATATATACCTCTCTATATATCTCTTTCTAGCTCTCTATCTCTATATATATATATCTCCTCTCTCTATCTCTATATATCTATCTCTCTGTATATATATCCTCTCTATCTCTCTATATCTCCATCTATATCTTTATCTGTCTCTCTTCATATCTCTCCCTCTCTAGATGTATCTTTATCTTATATATATATCTCTCTGTCTCTGTGTATATCTCTATATATCTCTCTATCTCTCTGTCTCTGTATATATCTGTCTATATATATCTCTGTATCTATGTGTATATATATCTATCTATATCTCTATATATTTCTCTATATCTCTCTATATATATATCTATATCTGTCTATATCTCTCTATATATCTCTATCTCTCTATCTCTCTATCTCTCTCTATATATATCTCTCTGTCTCTCTCTCTCTATATATATAGCTCTATATCTATCTCTATCTTTATATCTCTCTATATATGTCTCTCTATCTCTGTCTATATATATCTCTCTGTCTCTCTATCTGTCTCTATATATATCTATATATATTTCTACGTATATGTATCTCTATATATATCTCGCTCTATATATCTATCTCTATATATCTCTCTGTGTATATCTATATATATATCTATCTCTCTATATATATATATCTGTCTATATCTCTCTCTATATATATATATCTCTATATTTCTATCTCTATATATATCCCTCCATATATATCTTTATATATATATATATCATATATATCTTTCTCTATATATCTCTATCTCTCTGTATATCTCTTTCTACCTCTATATATACATCTCTCTATATATCTCTCTCTTTAGCCTGTCTCTATATATATCTCTAGCTCTCTTTCTCTCTGTATATATATATATATCTTAGTCATGTAGTGCTGCTCTAACAGAAATAGCACAAGTGGATGGCTTTAACAAAGCGAAGTTTATTCCCTCACAGTCCAGTAGGCTACAAGTCCAAATTCAGGGTGTCAGCTCCAAGGGAACACTTTCTCTGTCAGCTCTGGAGGAAGGCCTGTGTCATCAATCTTCCCTTGGTCTGGGAGCTTCTCTGCACAGGAACCTCAGGTCCAAAGGACGCGCTCTGCTCCTGGCACTGCTTTCTTGGTGGTATGAGGTTCCCCGTCTCTCTACTCACTTCTCTCTTTTATATCTCAAAAGAGAGTGGCTTAAGACACTACCTAGTCTTGTAGACCTCATCACTATAACTGCCGCTAACCCATCTTATTACATCATAGTGATAGAGTTTACAACACATAGGGAAATCACATCAGATGATAAAATGGTAGACTATCATACAACACTGAAAATCATGACCTAGCCAAGTGGACAGATATTTTGGGGGACACAATTCAATCCATGACGTTCCACTCTTTGGCCCCCAAAAATTCATGTCCTTGCAACATGCAAAACATATTCATCCCATCATATCATAGTAAAAGTCTTAATTCCAAGTCCAAAATCCAAAAATTCCTCTTCATCTGTGAAATCTAGAATATAAGTTATCTGCTTCCAAAGGTACAATAGCAGAGCAGGCACAAGCTAGACATTTCCATTACAGATGGGAGAAACTAGAGGGAAAGAAGTGATAACAGGCACCAAGCAAGTCAGGAGAACGTATTACATTAGCCCTCAAGGCTTTGAAAATAATCCTCTGTCCTCTGAGACAATTTACACAATAGCCCTGCCCTCCAGACTCTAGGTATTGGCCACACTCTCCAGATTCTGAGTGGAGGCCCCTCGGCCCTGGGCTTCAGCTCGGCCTTCCAGGCCCACTGGGACAGCAACTCTGCTCCCTTGGCTTTAGGCGCACCATTCTCTGAGTGGTGACTCCGCCCTTGGAAACACCAGAGGCCATGGCTCCACCCTGTGAAACCCCAGAGGTCATGGCCGTACCCTCCTTGTCTCTTCAGCTTCTGCTTCCTGTGGCCTCTTGGCCCTCGGGCCTCACGCCCACATCTGCCCTGCTGGGGCAAGTGTTTCAAAGCTCTGTAGATCCACCAGTAAGTATCAGAAGGACAAGGGAGTACAGGAGGGGGTGTCTGCAGTAAACTGGCCAGCATGGGCAGCCCGGGGCATTATCACAGAGGGTAGCCCACGGTGTGGCAGAACCCAGGGTGGCCTGGGGATCTGAGCTCAGCCTGCCCCCAGCCAAGGACAGACCCTCACCTGGGACATTCTGAGGCCACAGAGCAGGATGACTTCTACCACTGAAGGTGGCTCCTCGGGCACTGATCCTCCTTATCTCCAGCCATACCTGGCCCCCCTCCCCAGAGGTTGCAGGTGCTGTAGGGGAACCCACTCTCTGCCCCAAGGGTCAGTCCTCGCAAAGAACCTCTTGCTCTCACCACCCCCTGCGCCCCAACTGGTGGCTTGTGGCCACAACAGCCCTCCTGGTGACTGCCCCCCAGCTCCCTGTCTGTCCTCAGCCGCCCCGCCCGTGGGCAGAGGTGCCCACGCGGGGAACACCTTTCCACCAGGGGACCTGAGCACCAGGCATCTGGGTGGACCACAGGGAGGGCACCCCTTACCCCAGCCAGACGCCTCCCCTCGGGAGACATTCCTCAAAGCCAGAGCCCTACATTGATATTGGAGCAGTGAGGCGGAAGGTCCTTGGGACCAGCAGAAACAGAGCTGACACCCTTGTTCCCGGGAAGCAGAAGAGCATTTACTGAACACTGCAGTGGCGGTGGCCCCAGCCTTTCCTTTCCTTGGACTGAGGTGGCCAGAGTGGGTGAAGAGGGTGGCTTGGCCCTGGCTCTCAGGTCAGCCGAGGACTGAAGTCTGGGGTCCAGGACAGTAAGTGGCCAGCCCGGCGCTGAAACAAAGCAGGTCAGGGGGAGCCTATACCCGGGGGTGCGAGCTTGAAGCTCAGGCTGGGGTGCCGGGGGGAGGGGGTCTGAGCAGGGATACTCAGTCTGCCCACTGGGGACAAGTCTGGTGCTAAGTCCCTGACAAGGAAGAGCCCCACAGCCCTGCCCTGGCCCCTAACCTCAGGGCCAAAGACCTCCAGGCCGGAACTCCTGGAACTCAGTAGCCCAAAGGTTGAGCAGCCAGACATGGGCAGACAGAGGAGGGGCCATGTCACCCCTCTGTCAGCCCCCAGGCGGAGCAGGAACCCCCCCGACAGCACCGGGACGCTGCTGCCGCCAACCCTTCCCCACTGCAGAGACCACTTTTGCAGCAGTTTATCTAGGAGTTCACCTTCAAGTCCTCTATCTGCGTGTTCTGGAGGGACAGGTCATTCTCCACGCAGGAGGGCAGGCAGAACTTGTTGTGGGCTCTGTACTCTTCAGACTCTGCAGGAGAGAAGGGGGTGTGAGCACAGCCCTGCATGGAGACACCCCCGGCCTAGTGGGAGGACAGCAGCAGACCCTGGGGCAGGCTAGGGACCCCTCCAGTGACAGAACCTCAGAACCTCCCGTCTTTGAACCCGAGACTTCCCAGATAGGGGCTGGGAGGGTCGTCAAAGAGCCAGTCCAGGACCTCTTCCCTAAGAGGACGCCAAAAACATGAGGAAGTGGCTTCCCAAGGATCCCAGGAAGAGGGTGACAGGCTAGCAAGTAGGACAGCCAGGCAGCCTCTGGTTCCAGCTCTCTTCCCAAGAGGCAGGCAGCCCTGCCCAGTGTGTCCCAGGTGTGGGGTGGGAGGATGGTATTGTTGTTACGTGACGTCGAGTTGGTTCCGACTCATAGCAACCCTATAGGACAGAGTAGAACTGCCCTATAGGGTTTCCAAAAAGCAGCTAGTGGATTCGAACTGCTGAACTTTTGGTTGGCAGCCAAGCTCTTAACCACTGAGCCACCAGGACGTTTGGGGGGGACACCGTTCAACCCACACTGTTGGGTGCCATCGAGTCGATTCCAACTCATAGCGACCCCATGTGACAGAGTAGAGCTGCCCTACAGGGTTTCCTAGGCTGTAATGGAGGGTGTTAGGGGGTGAATAAGCAGCCCTGGTGGCACAGTGGTTAAGTGCTCGTTTGCTAACTGAAAGGTCAGTGGTCTGAACCCACCAGTGCCACTCCACGGGAGAGAAAGAAGATCTGATGGTCTGCTCCCGTAAGGATCACGGCCTAGGAAACCTATGGGGTGGTTCTGCTCTGTCATGTGGGGTCACTATGAGCTGGAATTGACTGGATGGTACGCAACAGCAACGTGGGTCGAATGGCGTCTCCACCCCTCAAAACCTACCCCTGTGCCTGGGAATGTGACCTTGTTTGGAAATAGGGTTATCAGTTAGGTTGGGACCTAATCCCATCTGAGCAGTGTCCTTCTAGAAGAGGAGATAAGAACAGAGCCAGTCACTAGAAGGACACCCGTGAGGCTCCACGACAAGGCCAGGAGGCTGGGAGCTGAGACAGGCGGGCACATTTCCCCTCAGAGCCTCTGGAGGAAGTAACACGGCCACACCGTGATCTCGGAATCCCTGGGCTGAACTTTTGGTTAGCAGCCAAGCTCTTAACCACTGAGCCACCAGGGCTTTTAGGGGGGGACAACATTCAACCCACACTGTCGATTCCAAGCTCATAGCGACCCCATGGGACAGAGTAGAGCTACCCTGTAGAGGTAGCCTGTGGTGGGGCCTCCAGAACAGAGACGTAGGTTGTGTCTGCTCTTATCCACCCCTCAGCGCGCGGTGCTTTGTTATCGCAGCCCTAGTTGACCGAAACAGATGCGAATCAGAGACAGCTCTTGTGAAGTGCCTGCAGGGTGCCGGCCACAGGACTTGTGTCTTCCTGCTGTACCTCATTTAAGCATATGGCACAGGGACAAGCTGGGGAGCTGGGTGTGCGGGGTGCTGGGTGTGCGCAGGCTTGGGCAGGCAGGCAACTCCCCACAGTTCTCACGGTGGCCCGGCCAATATTCCACCATTCCAGAGTCATTCCTTTAGCTAGAACCCATCTGTCTCCCATTTCTCATCCTGGCTACTCACTAACAGCTCACGGGCCCCATGGTACCTCCAGTGAGTGGGTAAAGGATGTGGGTGGGGGGAGGACGAGGAGCAGAGCCATGGGCACACTGAAACCCTTTCCAAGGCAGGAAGTGAGGCCAGCCCCCTGCTGTGGCGGAGGGGATGGCCTGGGGTGGAGAGGTGCTGATGGTTCTCACAGTGAAGGAAGGCACCCCATCTTCCCCTGCTTCAAGCCTGGAGCGGCCACCTGACCCTCAGTATGGGAGTCCAAATGCCTGGGGTGGGGTCTGCCCTCCTCCCACACTTCCTGTACCAGTCCTCCACTTTCAGAACCCGGCATTCCCTCCCCGCCATGGGAGGAACCATGTCGTCTCAGCCCAGGGACTCACCCCTGATGACCATCACCTCCTGCTTGGCGCAGACGGCATCCTGGTAGGGACACGTCTCCACTTTGCAGGAGCCCAGGTGAGGGGCCCCATAGCATACATAGCAGCTCAGACCCTGTGCTGGAGGGGGGATGAGTCAGCTGAGGTGACACCCGGCCAAGCTGGGTCGCCGCGGAGTGGGTACTGCGCTACCCCCACAGTCAAGAGCAGATGGCCAGGGTTGGCTTCAAGCCCTCGCAGCTGGCAGCACACAGGGAGTGGGTAGCATTGGTGGCAGTGACCTCAGGGTTCAGGGGATGGGGGCTGAGGCCAGTGTGATGGTGGACGGTCTCTGCGGCCAGGATGCAGGGCTGGGCAGCCCGGTAAGAGAGGGAGGCTCCACCACCCAATTGCATATTTGCCCGAGTAGAAGGGTGAGGCCTGCTAGCTCCCAGTAGTCCTGGCCACGTGCCACCCAGCGAGGCAGGAGGCCAGGCTGAGAGGGAGGGGCTGTGCTCACCTGAGGGGGACAGGAGGGATGACCCCATTGTGGGGCCCCCAGAGGCCAGCAGGGGTCCAAGGGGAAGGGGGTGCTGTGTAACCTCCACTCGGTAAAGGGGGGCCTGAGGGCGCAGGTGAAGGGCTAGTCATTTCCTGCCCAGTGAATGGGGTGTGGAGCCCTCCTGCAAACGGGGTGCTGGGCCCTCCTGGAAGCCCACCTGGGCCCAGGCACCCAGCTCAGCAGGGTACCTGGGCCCAGTGACCTGACCCAGCCCCAAGCACCTGAGTGCAAGCACAGGACCTCACAACCCACAAACAGCGGTCAGTCCCCGCTGTGACACAGGGGGCTCACACCGCGGGGACATGAGGGACACGCGGAGCACAGACTCCTTCCTTCTCCACCCCCCATCTCACCTCTCTCTGCTCACAGCAGGGCCACCAGCAGGACCAGAACAAGGGTCTTCATGGCGGGGACTTGCAGCCCGGGTGAGAACAACCCGGGGGCTTACTGTGGGCCGGTTCTCTCTCCCGCCCTGGCCTCCGGGCACAGCATTCACAGGCCGGCTCTCCACCCCATCTCCCCCCATCCTCACTCTCCCCATCCTTGTCCTGCCACCCTCACCCCAGAACCCACACCTGCACCCTCCTCCTTCGCACCCCTACCCACCTCCTCATGGCTCCCTCTGGCCAGGCGACAGGGCAAGCGGGGAAGAAGCAGCCCAGCCACGAGGCTGGTCTTGCCCCCAGGAAGACCCCCTCCCCCGGACCCTCTTGTTTGTCACAAGATGCTGGGCTGCTGAGTCACAGAAATCCCCTTGCCTTTGTACAGGAGTCAGAGCTCTTAGTAGCCATCAAGGCAGCCCTGCAGACGCCCAGACCAGCACCATGACGTCCTGCCTTATCCCTCGTTCTCTCAGCCAATGCGACTGCGGGCATGGCGCGCACAGGGAGGCCAGGCAGGCTGGGGCCCACTGGTACCCTGGGGCACTGGGGGGTGTCTGCCTCAGGAGGAGCGGCCACATCCAAGGAGTCAGGAAGGATGCAGGGGAGGGTGTCCCAGCATGGGAGGGCAGGAGTAGGGGTCCTAGGAGGATGCGCTAGGCAGAGCTGAGGTCCTGTGCCTCCCCTTTGACCAAACAGGGAGAGGAGGAACCGTGGAGGGAGCCCCAGGGCCGGCCGGCATGTAGGGTGGGGCGTAGTGGGGCCCTGGACTTACTGTCCCACCAAGACAGTCCTCCAGGGGTGAAAGCAGATCCCGAGGTGTGTCGGCTGAGGTCACAAGGGAAGAACCCGGTCCTCACATGCACAGCACCTTTCTGCTCACGGGCATCCCCTGTAAATGTCCCACCAGATTTATAGATGGCTTGGTGGGCTATTGTGCAAGGGGGAGGGTGCGGAGCAAAGGTTTCTAAGGAAGCAGAAGAAACTTGTGCAATTCACCTCTAACTTTCTCTTTCCTAGATCAGAGGATGTGGTTCAGGTTACAATCAATCTGCATGTGACCACTGTAGTAGAGGATAAAAATCACAAAGTTGAGTAAAGCAAAAAGGAAGTTTTCTTTGGCATATATTCAGAAGGGCAGAAGTGGGAAAACGGACAAGCACGCTGCACCAGCCCTGTCCGCCCGAGTCCGAAGAGCAGTTACCGAGCCATCAGTCTATATTAACATTACAAAAGGGCGAAACCACTGAAAGCTTCGCCTTTTCAGATTGGCTAGAAACTGTGATCATACATTTTGAACTGTCCTTCTTAACAATCATTGGTACAGGTTTCAGTAACTGACAGTCAGGAGGGTCTTCATTGGTCCAACAAATTTCTATTCACTAAATGGTAAGAGAAAAAGACAAGAGTGGAAAGTCTTTTGTGTTGTGCTTGATGGGCTTTATGCGAAAGTTTCCCTAAAAGATATTTTCCAAGATTATCTTAGCTATTGTCTTTACAACTCAGGGCCCAGTTGATGTGTCCTCGTGAGTCCTTGTGAGCCCAGCTCCAGCTGGGTCACGTTCTCTCTGCTCAAGGAGAGGGAATAATAACTCCAATATTATTTCCTAAATCACCATAAGTGCACCCCACACTCCTCACTGGAGACCTGCAAAAGGGGTTCAGTCCTAGCGCCCACCTCACACCCGGGATGGCTGGGGTCTTCCATTCTGCTCCCTCAGCGTTTTCTCTCACTGTTCTGCAAGGACTAAGAGTTCAGCATAGGAAAATGAAGACAGGAGGCCAACGAACTCGGCGAGTGTGACAGAGTAAATCATGCTCCGTCACAACCTAACATATAAAGAACACCTGGTGGCCCAGTGGCTATACGCACTCAGTTGCTAACTGAAAGGTCTGCAGTTCGAACTCACCAGCCACTCTTCTGGAGAAAGATGGGACAGTCTGCTTCTGTACAGATTACAGACTTGGAAACCCTATGGGGGCAGTCCTACTCTGTCCTACGGTGTCATTATGAATCCGAATTGAGTCGATAGCAGTGGGTTTTGATCATGATGAGGGCTCTGAAGATCCTAGAACATGGTGCTGTGTTAGTCAGGGTGTCTTAGCCAGGGTTCGTTCTCTAGAGAAACAGACCAGTGAGATATATATATATCAGGAGAGAGAAAGAGATCTTAGGGAATTCGCTCACATGACTGTGAGGGCTGGCAAATCCAAAATCCGTAGGCCAGGCAATGGGAAGAGAGAAGAGAGAGGGAGTGTCGTGGATTGAATTGTGGCCCCCCAAATATCTGTCAGCTTGGCTAGTCCATGATTCCCAGTATCGTGTGATTGTCCACCATTTTGTCATCTGATGAGATTTTCCTATATATTGTAAATCCTACTTCTATGATGTTAATGAGGTGGGATTAGTGGCAGTTATGTTAATGAGGCAGGACTCAATCTACAAAATTAGGTTGTGTCTTAAGTCAATCTTTTTTGAGATATAAAAGAGAGAAGCTAGCAGAGAGACATGAGGATCTCATACCACCACGCACCAGGAGCAGCGCACAGCCTTTGGACCCAAGGTTCCTGTGCTGAGAAGTTCCTAGTCCAGGGGAAGATTGATGACAAGGATCTTCCTGAAGAGAAGACAGAGGAAGAAAGCCTTCCCCTGAAGATGACACCCTGAATTTGGACTTCTAGCCTACTAGACTGTGAGAGAATAAACTTCTATTTATTGAAGCATCCACTTGTGGTATTTCTGTTATAGCAGCACTAGATAACCAAGACAGAATTTGGTACCAGGAGAGGATGCTGCTCTAACAGATTCCTAACACGTGGAAGCAGTTTTGAAACTGTGAGTGGGTAGAGGCTGGAAGCGTTTTAAAGTGCTTAATAGTAAAAGCCAAGATGTCCTTGAAGAGACTCTTGGTGGAATTACGGATGCCAGACGATTCTGGTGAGGACTGAGAAAGAAGTGAAAAAAGCTGTTACACTGGAGACTTTGCAGATGATGAGAAGCAGCAGCAGAGAAGTAGCGGCAGCAGAAGAACCAGGAGAGCAGCGGGAGACAGTGTTGGAGATGACCCACGGGGCAAGAGAGCTGAGTGGAGTTTACTGGCAGCGTGGGGTGCCTCCAGGCACTTATCAGTGGAGCTACAGAGCTTCTAAACATTTGCCCCAACAGGGAAGACATGGGCCCTGAGGCCCGAGGGGCCGAGAGGCCAAGGAACTCAGAAGCTGAAGAGACAAGAAACACAGGAAGCAGACCTGCTGAGGTCTCAAAGGGTGGAGTCGCCACTCAGATGAACTAGGACAATGGTGCTACCTAAAGTTGAAGGAGCAGAGTTGCTGTTCCAGGGGGCCTGGAAGGTGGAGCTGAAGCCCAGGGCCGAGGGGGCTCCGCTCAGAATCCGTAGAGTGTGGCCAACACCCACAGTCTGGAGGGCAGGGCCATTGTCTAAATGGTCTCAGAGAACAGAGGATTATTTTCAAACCTTGAGAGCTAATGTAATGTGTTCTGCTGACTTGCCTGGTGTCTGTTATCCCTTCTTTCCCTCCAGTTTCTCTCATTTGTAATGGAAACGTCTGGCTTGTGCCTGCTGCTCTGTTGTACTTCGGAAGCAGATAACTTGTATTCTAGATTTCACAGATGAAGAGGAATTTTTGGATTTTGGACTTGGAGCTTATTTAAGACTTTTCTCATGATATTATGGGGTGAAAGTGTTTTACCTGTGGCAAGGACATGAGTTTTTGTGCGTCAAAGGGTAGAATGTCATGGATTAAATTGTGTCTCCTCAAAATGTCTGTCAGCTTGGCTAGTCCATGATGCTCAGTATTTGTGACTGTCCACCTGTCATGGATTGAATTATGTCCCAAAAAAACCCTGTGTGTATCATTTTGGCTGGGCCATGATTCCCAGTATTGTGTGGTTGTCCTCCATTTTGTGATTGTAATTTTATGTTAAAGAGGATTAGGGTGGGATTGTAACACCCTTACTAAGGTCACATCCCTGATCCAATGTAAGGGGAGTTTCCCTGGGGTGTAGCCTGCACCACCTTTTATCTTACAAGAGATAAAAGGAAAGGGAAGCAAGCAGAGGTTTGGGGACCTCCCACCACCAAGAGAGCAGGGCTGGGAGCACAGCCTTTGGACCTAGCGTTCCTGCATGGAGAAGCTCCTAGTCCAGGGGAAGATTGATGAGAAGGACCTTCCTCCAGAGCTGGCAGAGGGAGAAAGCCCTCCCCTGGAGCTGATACCCTGAATTTGGACTTTTAGCCTGCTTTACTGAGGAAATAAATTTCTCATTGTTAAAGCCACACACTTGCAGTATTTCCGTTATAGCAGCACTTGATAACTAAGACACCCCCATTTTGTCGTCTGATGTGATTTTCCTGTGTGTTGTACATCCTACCTCTATGATGTTAATGAGGTGGGATTAGCGGCAGTTATGTTAATGAGGCAGGACTCAATCTACAAGATTAGGTTGTGTCTTAAATCAATCTCTTTTGAGATATAAAAGAGAGAAGCTAGCAGAGAGACATGAGGATCTCATACCGCCAAGAAAGCAACACCAGGATTTCTAGCCTCCTAGACTGTGAGAGAATAAACTTCTGTTTGTTGAAGCCATCCACTGTGGTATTTCTGTTACAGCAGCACTAGATGACCAGGACAGGGAGTGCTGGCGAAATGTCTGTCTGCAGTCTGGAGTCTGGAGTCTTAGGTCCTTCAGCTGACCAGCTGAGGCCCCTGCATCATGGAGAGCACCTTCCTGACACGGAATACTCCATAACAGCATCTAGACCAGCAGGTGGGTGGGGAAGGGCAGGGGAAGGTGAGGAGTCCTGGTCGGCCCCTGGGTTTGAGCCCGGGAAGCCAGGTCATGGTAGTGCCGTTTTGCAGAGTGACCAGAGTCAGGACTGGAAGATCGGCCTGAGGCCAGCCCCGCTACAAACGCTCCCCAATCCCCTTTCCCCAGCCTGCTCCTCTCACCACTGCCCTCTGGGCCCTAAAGCACCCAAAGACCATGACCACGTCCTATTATTCATGGATCACGATTTCCACAGGAACAGGGATAGCTTACACCCACATGATTACATCTTGTGAAACCAGTTGCCATGAAGTCGATTCCAGCTCATGGCACCCCCACGTGTGCCAGAGTAGAACTGTGGCCCATAGAGTTTTCAATGGGTGATTTTTCGGAAGTAGATCGCCAGGCCTTTCTTCTGAGGTGCCTCTGGCTAGACTCAAATCTCCAACCTTTTGGTTAACAGCTGAGTGCTTAACCATTTTGCCCCCCAGGGGCTCCTTATCTTAAGAAAAGAGTTTGTTATTGACTTGAAGCGGTGTGGGGAGATGAGAGGCACGGCTTCCTGGATGCGACCCTGGGCAAGTCTGTCTCACTGATTTCTCGACTGCTCTGCCTCCCATGCTGGTGGTCCCTTTGGGAGGGTTCTCTGTCCCTCACCCAGGGATCAGAAGGACCCACGGGTTGAGGGCTGAGATAATGGGCTAGTGAGGCGGTGGGGAGCAGCAAAGATTTTCTTTTATGAGGGGGCATGGTACCTCAGAAGCAAAATGGGTTGTGCAATTACCCTCTAACTTCCTGTCTCCCCGATTGGAGGATATGGTTCAGAAAGGTTCACAGCTTCCAAGACAGGTGGGAGGTGACAAAATAGCTCAGACTCCCTGCCAAGCCGGCCAGCCTAGCCAAGACTCCCCAGCGCCACCCTCCTCCCAAGGCTCCTGTCCGTCACCATGGCAGGCGTGGACCCTCCTGAAGAACAGCACCTTGTCCTCCTGCAAAGGGATTCAGAGCTCACGCGGGCAGGAAGATCGGCAGCTGCCACAGGAAGGGGGCGGTCGCAGTCGCCACAGGGAGCAAGAGAGGCCAAGAAGTCCCCCTGCTTAGAGACGGGCGGAGGAGCCGGGAGGGAATGGCCCCTGGTCCCTCCGGCAGCCCCTCTCTGGATGGGATGCTTGTCTGGCTGGAGGGGAAGGGCCTCAGCGAGAGAGGTTTTTTTCTCTTCCCTGTTTCCCCGCAGTAGTTTATGTGGCTTCCGCACCGTTTTGTACCCTTGAGGGAGACCTACAAGGACAGGGGCACCCGAGAGCCGGAGCAGGCTCCGGGATGGAAGACTGCCCTCCCCTGTCGTCACGGTGCAGTGCAGCGTCCGCAGACGGCTGGGCTGTGTGCGTCTGTGCGTGCGTCCCTGGGTGGGGCAAATGCTTAAGCGCCTGACTATTAACTGAAAGGCTGGTTCAGACCTACCCACAGGCGCCTCAGACGACCATCTGCTTCCAAAGGTCACAGCCTTGAAAACCCTACGGAGCACAGGTCTCCTTTGCACACTTGGGGTCACCACAAGTCAGAATTGACTTCACAGCAACTCTTTTGGGGCGTGTGTGTGTGTGTGTGTGTGTGTGTGTGTGTGTGTGTGGTGTGCTGCTGGGACAGTCGGCGTGACTTCCAACTTTCTGCTCTCGTTTCTGCAGCTCCCAGCCCTCCCTCTTACTTCCTTCTTTCCATTTGCCACAGAGCCTCCTAAGGGGTCATCCGTCCACTGCTCGGCCACCCGGCAAGGCTGCATCTCTGATGGCCACCACGGGTCCTGCTCAGCCTGAGGCCGGTTCTCTGTGGCCAGAACTGTGATCCCAGGTCTCTGTCCTACTCCCGGTCTCTCCCCGCTGAGCCCAGACTTCCTCCTTCTGAGGGAATATGGTGGACCCTTCAGCCTCGCACCCTTCCCTGCCTTCTCTTCCTTCCCTGCCAGCCTCTCCAGCAACACCCCGCATGCAGACAGCCTGTGGCCAGGCCCAGAGACGGCTCGGCCAGAATCCTGTGTTCATGTTTTTAGGTAAAGTAAACGATCCTTTGAGACCCTCTGTCTCCCATGTGTGCTGAGGTCCTGAAAAAGGTGAGGTTCTCAGAGCTCTCCCTGCTGATTTGCATTTTGTCTCTTTAGAGAGAGCAAGTAGATTTGGATATAGGCAACTGAAGTTATCCCGGGACAACCCAAAATTCAGTTTTGTTTTGATTTCAGATCCTAAACCTCTTATTGCTAGTATACAGAAATACAGTTGGTTTTTGTACGTTGAACTTGTATGCAGCGACCTTGCAAAGTTTGGTTATAAATTCTAATACTTGTTCTGCATATTACATCGGGTTTTATAAACTCAGAGTCATGTCATCTCTGAAACGAAAATTTTATTTCTAATCTCTGTGTCCGTTGTTTCTTTTTCCTGCTCTCTTATCTAGTTCATAGCTTCCAGGACAAAGGGGAGAAGAAGTGGGGTAACGGCATCCCTGTTTTGTCCCAGAACAGGGGGAACACGTTCAACGGCTCATCATCCCAAAAAACCTGACTCACAGCGACCCTAGAGAGCAGAGAACTGCCCGAGAGGGTTTCCAAGGAGGGGCTGGTGGATTTGAGCTGCCAACCTTTTGGTTAGCAGCCGAGCTCTTAACCACTGGGCTACCAGGGCTCCAGCCCATCATTAAGAGGGTGTGAACTGTGGCCCCTGCCTCTTCCCCATCATCATTCGTTCCTCCTCCCTCCCTCCCTTCAGCTCCAGGACTGCGCAGTGAGTAAGCAAGGCTGTGCCCCGTCCACCCTCAGAGTCAGTGAGGTGCTCAGCCTGCTCTTCATCAGAACTTTCCGAGGGGGCGGGCGCAGCAGGAAACCACCCAGCTCACCCCTCTGACCCTCACCTGTCCTCACCCTTACTCTGTGCACTCTAGCTCCTCCTGCAGGCAGCACCCCGGCAGATGTCGCCCTGGCTGCTTGGAGACTCGGCACCTTTTGCAACAATGAGCTGGACCCTGGCGCCCCAAGTGCGCTCCCTCTGTGGGAAATGGGGTGGCTCTGCCCTGCCGCCTGCTCCCCCTCCACGCACGGACCCCTGGCATCACAGGTGGGTTCCTTGCTCAGGCTTCTAGAGGAGTAAGTGGGCACCATGATGAATGTTAAAGCATTTATGATTTTTGTATGCAATCGATTTTTTTCTAATGTTCCAGTGGAAGGCTTCCCATTGCCTTCCACGTCCCATCTGGAGTTGAAACGCTCTCTTCGTGTTTTTCAAAGTCTGTGCTTTTCCCGCAGGCGTGTCCCACCTTTCCATTTGTAGTGTTCTAATGTGGCTTCGTTTTCCTTGTTCAGTCTTGCTAGAGACATGTCTATTTTGTCTTCTTTCCAAAAAGCAAGTTGAGCCTTTTAAATTGTATCTTCGTTTTCTATTTCACTAGTGTCCACTCTTACTCGTTTTTTTTTTTTGGCTGGTGGACATTGTAAATGTCCCTTTGTTGACTGTCTTGATTTTGTTTGTTTATTTGTGTGTGTCTTTATTTCAATCTTGTTGGGCTCTGCTTGACCGTCAGTTAAGTTCCTTGGAGATCAGTTTGATTTTGTTGTTCTTGTTGGCTGCCGTCACATTGGTCCCTGACTCACGGCGACCACATGCTGATCGACAGGGTTTTCACTGACTGATTTTCAGAAGTAGGTTCCCAGGCCTTTCTTCCTACTCTGTCTTATTCTGGAAGCTCCCCTGAAGCCTGTTCAGCATCATAGCACCACACAAGCCTCCATTGACAGACGGTGGTTTCGCTTGAGCTGCACTGGCTGGGAATTGAACCCAGGCCTCCCGCGTGGAAGGCAGGTCTTCAGCCGGAAACACCACTTAGGTTGGAGACTTAGTTTCACACGTTCTACCCTTCTTTTTCCTCCCTAATTACTTCATTGTTCAGCTTCTGAGAGTGATGTCTCCTCCTCCTTTACCAAACATCACTGTAGCACCTAGGAAATGTAACTTGAATGCAAGAATGTTCATCTTCTTCCTTGGTAAGGCAAACATGAAGGGGCAGTTTCTCTCGGGAACAGCTTGGCTGCAGCCCAGGAGTTCTGATGGTGTTCTGATGGCTCAGTCTTTTTAATCCCCAGCATGACTTCTTCTCTAGCCGCGATTTATTAGAACGGTGGTCTTCAGTCTTTTCATACGTGTAATTATGTCGTTTATGCTTTTTGTTGTGAACTTCGGCACTGTGCTCAGAGAATGTCCCCAGTGTGGGAAGTGTGACACCATGAAGATGATAACCATCTGGACATCAAGAACAGAATCAAAGCACCGGACGGTCTTGCTCCAGGTGTCCACAGTGTGGATGTGTTTCATCATTTGTGCTGAATGGAGGCGGAGGGTGGGACTGTGCGCCTGAGGGAGACCATCAGCCATATCCACAGTGCTGAACTCGGGGTTGAACCCAGAACACAGCCACCAACACCCGTCAGCCTTCACAGCAAGCGCGCTTGGTTAATTGTTCAGGATGTGATGGGTGAGGATGCCCCCACTGCTGGCCCCATTCCTGGGTCCCTCACACCTGTCCAGGGTGCTGTTATCATTCCTCCCAGGGGCCTTATCAGCAGATGAGGGGCTCGGGGAGACGTCAGCACAGACAGCGACCCCCAGGCCCTCGGACACAGTTCTTTAGCCAGGGAGGTATGGAGACCATCCTGGCAGCAAGTAGACCTCAGGGTGCTGGCGGCAGGCAGCGGTCTCTCTGGGCGCAGGGACAGCCCTTCCTAAGATCACCTCTCTGTTGTCTTTCCCGCACAAGCCTGTGGGCTGGGGTCATCCTGCAAACCCAGGACTCCCCGGCCTTGCTCACTGTGGTACGCAGACACTGTGATGAAGAAAATGAAGGCAGGAAGGAAGAGAGAATCCAGGGAAAGACCGCTGACAACGGGGAACATTGCGCCAGGAGCTGCCACGGGGGGGCAGCCTCAGGAGACGGGCACCGGGCAGGGGCGGGGGGGCACTGACGAGCACCATCTCCTGCCCACACCTGGGTCAGTCCCCTGGGGGGGGGGTCAGAGGGTGCCGCCTGGGCCCCAGAGGGCACCTCCAGAGTGGAGGGAGCCCCATCCAGACCACCACCTCCTCCTGCGGGGTGCAGAGCAGGCTGGGGTGTTCCAAGTGGGGAGCTCCGTGCTGTTTGGTTCCAGAAGGTACCGTCTCCTGGGAAGCCCCAGGCCTGGCTAGAACTTGGTTCAAGTCTCCAGTCTCTGAAGACAGGAATGGATAAGGGAACAAAGCGGAGACACAGTGGGAGCGTGCAGAGGAGCCGGGAAGGGCAGCTTTCTGCTCCGGCTGTGGCAGGAGCTGTACTGACCTACTGCACCCTGATCCATGAGTCAGAGGAGGGAAGATAAGCTTGAGCCTCATCTACCTGGGGTCCAGGCACATTTAAACACCCTGAGGGGCCAGGCGTGCACGCAGAAACCCCATCACAGCGATAGCAGCCCACGAGACTCACCTGAGGACCCCCAAGGTCTCCAGAAGTTTCCCTTTCTCCCTCTCCTCCCCCCTCCTGCCTCTCCCCCCCCACCTTTCCCCTTCCTTTCTTTCCTCCTCCTCCCCCTTTCTTCCCCTCTTTCTCTCGCTCCCCTGCTCCCTCCTTCTCCCCGCTGCGCTTCCCAGGCCCCTGTTCTGTCTGCTCCGCTGGCTGGCTGGCCCTTCCCTCATCTCTGATTGTCCAAACCTCCCCTGTCCCCCAGCTCTAATGGCACCTCCTCCCCGTTGAAGCCCTCCATTTCTCCCCAGGCCTCACACCCCGGGGAAGGAGCCTCCCCATCCCCTCCTCCCTTTCAGTACCCGCCACCGCTGTCAGGAGCTCAGGGCTGTGTCTCTCCCTCAGCACCCCTGGATCCCAGAGGCAGGGATCGCACCTGGGCCCCGTGTGCCTCACGGTGCTGAGCCGCCTGCCCTTTGAGTCCCAGTCTGTCATAGGAAGAAGAGGAGGCAGCAGGGCTGACAGCCCAGGTGTAAGGGCCCAGGTGGGAGGGCTCTGGTGGGAGGGACCAGGTGGGAGGGTCCAGGTGGGAGGGCCCAGGTGGGAGGGCCCAAGTGAGAGGGCCCAGGTGGGCGGACTTGGGTGTGAGGCAAGTCCCTGCTTTCAGGGGCTGACACTCAGCTGCCTCCTCCTAGGGCCCGGGCCCTGGTCACTCCAGCAAGAGGTGGCTAGAGGCACAGCTGCGGTCCTTGGGGGCCCTGGGACCCTGGGACCCTGGGAGGCCTTCTGCAGAGCAGGAGCTGATGAGGGAGGTGCTGACGGGCTCCGCCTACCCCACCCCTCCCTGGGCTGTTTCTACCTCCTGGCAGCCTGGCGGAGGGAAGGTGTAGGAAAAGGGACTCAGGGTGGTGGGCAGAGGACAGAGTGGGGCCTGGGTTGGAAGCAGTGAGGACCAGCATCTGAGGGTCTAGGTGGAGTATGCGAAGGGGAGAGTGGAGGGGGTGGGACTGAGGGGAGGAGGCAGGGATGGGGTGTACAAGGCTGGGGGGCTCTGGGCGAGGCTTCTCTCTGCTGCCCCCGACTCAGGCCCACTCTGCGGCATCATGGAGGGGCTTGTTCTGGTCCTGTGGGCATTGCTCATGTCTGCAGAGTTTGCTGGTGTTTGTGGGGACGAGACAAAGCCAGGTAAGGAGGGGGTGGGCGAGGGACAGGATGGCGGTCCCCAGGCGTGCCATTTGCCCCAGCAAGCAGCACAGCCTCTGCTTACTCCAGGTGTTTGACGGTGGTGGCCTGTGGTCTCTGTGTGGGGTGTCAAATGCTTTGGCCCTTGGAGGGCTGGCGGCTGGTGGGGTGTGTCTGCTGCATCCTGGCCCTGACTGTGACCTGCCCGGCTGCCCCACAGGTAACCTGAGCTGCTATGAGTGCTTTAAAGTTCAAACCCCTTCAGCCTGCAGCCCTCTTGTCTGCTCCTCAAAGGACACCGTCTGTGTCTCTCATGAAATGGCTATAATCTTTGGTGAGTCCCTGCCAGCGCAGAGGGCCTGGAGACGGACAAGGGTCTGAGCTCTGGACCCTTGGACTGCGTGCAGAGCTTGGGGGCCTGGGGGGAAGACCGCTGGTCCAACACTACCCCCACCCCGTGACTTTCTTCCGGCCTGACTCCAGGGGAAGTGTCCATGGGTTCTGAATTTGCACTTCTCTTTCTTCCCTTCATTTGAAGTACCAGTTCTGCCGCCCGGAAGCCGTGCGTTAGTTTCCCAGGGCTGCGTAACAAAGCACCCGCCAGTCGGGGGTTAAACCACAGGCATTTACCCTCGCCCAGCGCTGGAGGACCCAGCGCTGGAGGACCCGAGTCCAAAACCACGGTGTCTCCAGCCTCTGGAGGTTGCCGGTAGTCCTTGGCTTTCTTTGGCTTGTGGCTGCATCACTCCGAGCTCTGCTTCCGTCTTCACGTGGCCTTCTTCCCTCCGCCTCTGTCTGTCTGCATCTCTGTCCAAACTTCCTTCTTCTTGGAAGGATGCCACCCTGGTCCAGTATGCCCTCGTCTTAACTCACGTCATCTGTAAAGATTCTATTTCCAGATAAGGTCCCTTCTGAGGTTCCAGGTGGATGTGAATTGGGAGAACACTATTCAGACAGGAAGGAGCCCTGGTTGCACAGTGATTAAGCGCTCGGCTGCTGGCCCAAAGGTCAGTGGTTGGAACCCACCAGCTGCTCTTTGGGAGAGAGATGTGGCAGTATGCTTCCATAGAGACTACAGCCTTGGAAACCCTATGGGCTGTTCTACTCTGTCCTATAGGGTCGCTGTGAGTTGGAATGGACTCAACGGCCACAGGTTTGGTTTTATTACTATTATTATTATTCAAATGGGATAAACGGTCAGTGGGACCAAGGCAGGGTGACCTGTGAGACTGAGGGAACCGAATCCATGAGGACATGAAGGCAAAAGGAAGGGCTGTGGTGGCAGGAGGGTCGGCCTGTGGTAGGAGGCTTGCAATCAAGGGGATATACACAGGACACTGCCCTGCACCCCCCGCCCCCCTCAGAGGCGCTGTGCCAGGCCCACACGCCCCACACTGCTGACTCGGGGCTTCAAAAGTGACAGGATTTTATTCAAAAAGCATATTTTACAGAAGATTAAAGTAAAGCATGAACCGGTTCCCTGACCCCCCTGCAAGTGCCCATAAACCACTAGAAACGCGCGCTCATAAAAGCATCAAAGAGAAAGCGAGGCGGGGCGGAAAGGCAGGTCTTTTCTCCTGCAGAAGCGGATCAGACGGGCTGCTGTCTGGCTGGATGGTGGTCCCTGCCCCGCCACCTCCTCTCCCAGTCCTTTGGCCGCAGCGCATTCCCTAAATGAGCCCCAGGAGGCTGCGGACCGCTCAGGCACCCACCCAGACGCGCGTGCGCACTCACACTCAAGCGTCCCCTAAAGACAGTTCACAGCAGAGGGCCGTACAAAACGGCCGCCGTCCGCGTTTTGGCCGTGGGGTGCCTAGGGGTCTTCCGACGGGGTTCCTTAGCCAACACCCGTCGGACACGACTGTGGCTGCTCCCCCCCGTGGCCAACGTGGGCGCGCCTGTCCCCCCGACCTCACCGCTCTCGGTGGCCTAAAAACGGTCTCGCCAGATGGCCTATTATCAGTGAGAGACGCCGGTCCACGCTCTGTGCTGCAACGCCTTTTTCCGACCCCTGCGCCCACATCCCTTTGGGGGCGCCCCCTTTTCTCACTGAATTGAATTGCAACCATTGAGGACACCTCACTCTAAGTGACGTTGTTTGCTTGCTCTTCCTTCCAATTGTCTTCCTCTGAACATGGCCCCCTCATCTTTGGCTCCACGGAAATTTCACGTGTACAGCTTCTCCACCAGAGGGGGCGGGGTGAGGACGCCCCCCTGCAGGGTGGGGAGGGGCCGCTGGGGCTCGGGAGGCGCCTCCCACGTGGTGAGAGCCCGCTGAGCAGAGGAGCTTTTTGTCCCGCCTTGCGCTTTGTACCTTCTGGGTTTTGTGGCAGGAAAGCCACCCCCTCCACACCCTCTGGGGTGAGACCCGCCCCCCTCCCCCAGCACTGGGGAAAGGGAATCAGGGGGAGGCTGCTGCCCAGTGGGGGCCCGTGGGGGCTTCAGAGCCGGTTCTCCCGGTCCACATGCTCTGCTCCAGCTGAGCATGTTCAGGCTCTTCTAAACGGTTCCACCCAGCAACAGTCTTCACAGCCTGCGACATATGATAGGATACAGTACAACGGGATATGACCTAATGCAATACAATATGATATAATGCTATGAAAACCAATGCAGGGAACTATAATACATTGCAACATAATATCATATCATATCATATAATGCAATCGCAATATAATGGTTATGTGCTCGGCTGCTCACCAAAAAGTCAGCAGTTCAAAGCCACCAGCTGCTCCGCAGGAGAAAAGACCTGGCAATCTGCTCCTGTAAAGATCACAACCCAGGGAACACTATGGGGTGGTCCTACTGTGGCCTGTTCGTAGCTGTGAGTGAGAATTAACAGGAAGGCAGGCAACAACAACGATGTAATATAACACAGTGAAACATAACACAGTGCAACAGACTACAACACAAGCCCACAGAACATAAAGTGGATTCCCCCGGGATGAGCTTCTCTTCTGCAGCTTGGCCAGGGGTGGCTCTGCTTCCTTGCAATGGCACCGTGATATGGAGGGCAGTGACTTCAGAGAGCTCTGCCATGTCCTTAGAGGAACAGTTCAGAGACTCCAAGCCTGAGGCTGGGCGTCTAGCAGGTTCCTTGTGGCTCCGCTCGCCTCTCACCACCCCCCCTCCACCCCCCTACACAAGCACATCCCGCACACTCCTGGCCTGGCAGGGGCAGGGGATGTCTGGCTTCCGGGAATGAGCCCTCTTCCCTGCCCCAGGGCCAGCAGCCCTGGAATTCCGTCTTTGCCGACCACAGACCTGAGGGTGACCTTGACAGGCACTGCCCCACTGTGCTGCAGCCACCTCGCTGGGGCTGAGGTCTGGAGACGGGGCCCTCGGGGCTCCTTGCGGGCCCGTGCTCCAGCATGTTCTGTGCTGCCCACGTTGGAAGGACCCCGTGCCTCTTCCGCCTCGCCACCAACCCTCTCTTCCTGACCTCTCCTCTCTTCTGCAGAATCAAAGGTAGTAACTAAGATAAGCAAGCGCTGTGCACCCAGGTGTCCCAGCTCCAGCAGTCGACATGAGTGGGTAATTGAAGAGGGGGTGAACGCCAGGCTCACCAGACGGTGCTGCTCCAGAAGCCTCTGCAACAGGGCACCCCCTGCACCCGAGGGGCCCTGGGCCCTGCCCGGGGGGCTGCTGCTCCTCTGGGCCCTGCTCTGAGCACCTGGCTCTGCGCCCCACCTGCCACCGCCTGTCCCCCGGCCCTCTGCTCCCAAGGCCTCATGCCTGCAGGGAATCCTTCAGAGAAAGTGGTGGCACCCCATCTGGGGCAACGGCCCCTGCGCTGAGCGCACTGTCCGGGACCCTTGTGGGTGGGACTATGGCCTCCGTCCCCACAGAGACAATAAACGCTACCTTGCTCAACCTGCACCTCGGCTCCTGCTCCTTGTACCCCCCTCCCAGCTTCCCAGCCCCTCTTCTCAGCAGCTGTCAGCAAAGGCCTCGGGGGAGCCATGGCCACTGAGCTAGGAGCAGTTAGGTCTGGACAGAACCATCTGGCTGGGCCATGGCCAGGCCAAGGACGGGAGCTGTCCCTTTGGCCAAGGCCAGTGCTGGGTGAGCCAGGTATCATCCGCTCAGACTTGGGCTCTCAGAGGGTGTGGCAGCCCCATAGGTGTGGGGGATGGGAGACCGGAGGGCGGTGGTGGTGGCTGTGGACGGCAATGCCCTGGGGGTGCGAGGAAAGGATGAGGGAGGCTCAGCTGGCAGAGCACGGGCTTGGCTGTGGCCGGCAGGGGCTTGGCTGCGGCCAGCAGGGCACGGGCTTGGCTGCAGTGGGGAACAGGGGCTGAGGCCTGAGGGGCTCAGGGGGCATGCAGCCTATGCCTGGCCTGTGAGTCATCGGGGGGGAGCACAGAGGCAGGTAGGACCCATGATGAGCTGGGGCTCCCAGGGGCATCCAGGAGATGTCGTGAAGGTGGGGGACTGGGCCACGAGCGAGGCCCTCGCTGTACAGATCACTGTGGGTGGGGGAGCATCATCACCCACCTGCCCCTGCTCTCCAGCCAGTCATTGTTCCCCCGTGGACCAAGGCAGGCCAGCCCTTGGGTGCTCCAGGGCCTGGACTTTTGTTCCCTTCTGTTCCCCAGGAAACCGTGGGCTTTGCAGGAGCTGCCCCAAATTCCCAGAGCTGAGCCTCTCTCCCCTCCACACTTGAGAATTTTCAGGCTGAATTTTAACCCCACCTGCTTCCCAGAAGGCCATGGTTCACCCCCACTCCCCACACGGGGCTCCTGGCATGCTGGGGCATCGGGACATTCTCTGGGCACCTCGGTCGGGAGGCTCCTGTCCTGTGTAGGAGGGTGTAGGGGGACCCAGCTGGCAGCGGGGATGGCGGGGCGAGGCTGCTCCTAGGAGCTGCATACAGAACCCGGGCCGGCACCTGTGCAGGCCAGCTGTCACCCTCTGCCTCCCCGCGGCCACTGCTCCCAGCCCCTCTCCTGCATCCCTGTCCATGAAGGTACGTGTCTTCATGGAGGGGGATCCCTCCTCTGACAGGAGACCAGGACGTCAGGTCCTTCCAGGCAACCCCTCCACTGGAAATGAGTCACCCTGCCAAAAACCGCTAAATGAACACACAAAAGGGGGGGTGCAGGCAGGGAAGATGAGAATGAATGATGGCGGACGAGCCGCACGTTCACGCGAGAGGCGTTCTGGGCTTGCATAAGCGCCTGCTGAGGCTGAGTATGGGGACTGGAAGGAGAGTAGCAGGGACACGCCGTGAGGGGCCGGGCCACCCCTTGGCCCAGCCCTCCCCATCTGGCTGCCCTTCTCACTCTCCCCAACCACTCAGCTTCCCCGGAAAACCTCGGGTCACTGTCCAGACCCCTCCTGGGCAGTGTGACTCCTCCTCTGCCCTCGGGGGGGCCCGAGCCCTGCATGGCCACGGGGAGCAGCAGTGGACCCTGGGTCTGAGCCCCTGCAGGACAGGAAGGACGGGAAGAAGGACAAAGCAGGGGCAGGTGGGCAGCTCCTGGTCTCGGTGAGCGAGTCGGCGAGAAGGGGCTGAGTGCTCAGTTGCCATCAAGTCAGTCCCAACTCATGGGGACTCCGTGTGTGCAGGATAGAGCTGCTCCATCGGCTGTGACCTGTGGGGAGCGGATTGCCAGGCCTATCTTCTGAGGAGCCTCTGGGTGCCTTCGAACTGCACTAGTAGTCGAACACTTAACCATTTATGCCATCCAGGGACTCTGTAGAGAAAGCTATAAAGTGCGCATAAAAACCGAAGTCACGTATTTTGGCTGACAGCACCCGTATTGTCCTAGATCATAAGAATAATTGCAAACACAGTTTGCCTTTTGCCCTGGCATACAATGCCCCGTGGTTTTCGGTAGAACAACTCCAGGGTCCCACTCTTGGGACTGATTGTACTGTACTTTGTAGGGGTTGCCCTGCGGTCACAGGGACCCCAGCCATCACTGCCAGCCACTGTTTCTCACTGGGCCCTGCCTGCCGGCCCATCTCCACTCACACCCGGGAGCGGCCGGCACACATTCTGAGCGTCTAAGGCTGCTAACTGAAAGGTTAGAGGTTCAAACCCACCAAGCGGCTCCTCGTGAGAAAGGCCTGGCAATCTGCTTCTGAAAAGATTACAGCCAAGAAACCCTATGGGGCAGGTCTACTCAGGTCACACGGGGTTGGTGTGAGTCAGAATCGACTCGCTGGCACCCGACAACAACCAGAGCAAGCAGCCTTCTCGCCAGCCCATCACCAATCACGTGGGGACCCGTGCTCTCCTCACAACACAACAGCAGTCCTTGGGGACCTGTAAGAACAGCCCCTCACTTCACCTTTCCCAAAGATGATGGAAGGCTCCTGAGAGGACTGTCAGGGAGGTAATGACCAGCGACCTGCCCTGAGCACTTACTGTACACACGTGTTCCCAGCCTAGGCTGAGCCCTGCCCCGCTGGGAAGGCAATATCATTGTTCCCACTTTGCCAAATGGTGAGCAGACTCAGGGTTGAAGACGGTCATTCATCATCCAAAAAGAAAAGGGGTCATGAGTCAACCTAGGTCAGCCCAGTCGTGTCTGACCCCTGCTCCTTGCTGCCCCAGTGCAGCTAACACAGCATTGGCCAGCTACCCACTCTGAGGCCATGAAATCAGGTTAGTAAGTTACCGTCAGCTGCTACCAAGTCAGCCCCCAACTTCTTGCCACTCCATGCACACAATGCAACAAAAGGCTGCCCAGTCCTGCCCTAGCCCCTTAATCATGTGTGGATTGGACAGTTACGATGCACAGAGTTTTTACTGACTGATTTTCAGAAGTAGACCACCAGGCCTTTCTTCCTAGTCCATCCTAGTCTGGAAGTCCTGCTGAAACCTGTTCAGCATCATAGCAACACACAAGCCTCCGCTGACAGACGGAGTAGTGGCTGCGTGTGAGGCGCATTGGCCGGGACTCGAAGCTGAGTCTCCGGCATGGAAGGCGAGAGAGAATTCTGCCCCTGCGCCACCGCTGCCCCTGGATCACCCCATTACTAACATCTTACATTAGTATGATACATCCGTTACAAGTAATGAACTAATACTGATACACTTTGTTAGCTAAAAGCTACGTGTCATGGATTGAATTGTGTCCCCCAAAAATATCTGTCAACTTGGCTGGGTCATGAGTCCCAGTATTGTATGATCGCGTACCGTTCTGTAATCTGATGTGATTTCCTTATTTTTTGTAAACTCCATCACTGCAATGTAATAAGATGGATTAGCGGCAGCTATACTGATGAGGTCTACAAGATTAGATAGTGTCTTAAACCAATCTCTTTTGAGATATAAAAGAGAGAAGTGGGCAGAGAGACATGGGAAGCTCACACCACCAAGAAAGCAGTGCTGGAAGCAGAGCGCGTCCTTTGGACCTGAGGTTCCTGAGCAGAGAAGCTCCCAGACCAAGGGAAGACTGATGACACGGACCTTCCTCCAGAGCCGACAGAGAAAATGTTCCCTTGAGTTGACGCCCTGAATTCGGACTTTTAACCTACTGGACTAAGAAAGAATAAACTTCTCTTTGTTAAAGCCATTCTCTTATGGTATTTTTGTTAGAACAGCACTAGATGACTAAGACACCACACTTTATTCAGACTTCCTTTTCCTGTCCCAGGATCCCACCCAGAACACCACATTACATTTCGTTGTCACGTCTGCTTAGGCTCCTCTTGGCTGTGACAGTTTCTCAGACTGTCCTGGTTTGTGATGCCTTGGCTGTTTACAGGAGTACTGGTTGATATTTTGTAGAATGTCCCTCAACTGGGGTTCATCTGATGTTTTCCATGATAGACTGAGGTTATAGGTTTTTGGGAGGAAGATCACAGAGGTACAGTGCCATTTTTATCACATCACAACAAGGGTGAATCTTATCCACGTACTATCACTGTTGATGCTGACCTTGGTCACCTGGCTGAGGTCGTGTTGGCAAAGATTCTCCACTGTAAAGTGACTTTACCCCCTTTCCACACCGCCCTCTTTGGAAGGAGGTCACTGTGCACACCCACACTTACGGAGTGGGGAGTTAGTCTCCATCTCCTTGAGGGCAGAGTATCTACATGAATTATTGGAAATTCTTCTTCATAGTAGTTTTTCTATCCTCCCTCATCCACTCATTCATTATTTGTATCAGCATTGACTCATACATATTCATTTCATACTTTGAATTATAACTCAGTACTGCTTTACTTATTTGATTGCTCAGAATATTCCAGTTCTGGCCACGGGGAGCTCTTTCAGTTGGCTCCTGTGTCTTTCTGACTTGCCCATATCACTGTTGGTTTATTTATTTTGTTTTTTGATTACTTTCTGGCCCTATAAGATGCTCCAGGCTCACCTTGTATATTTCCTGCTCTAGACCTGGGTCACAGCCTTGAAAACCCTATGGAGCCATTTTCCCAAGAATCTCTGTCTCCTTTTACAGGAGAAGTGCGTTAGAAACCAAGATCTGGGTTCTAGGTGTGTTCAGTACTACTGGGGTGTCATTGTTTCTAGGCCCATCAGCTGACAGAGCAAGGAGTCATATGTGTATATACTAAGCTGTGTGTATACACATGTCTATAAATATATCTATGTGTAACTGTCTGTCTGTACATTAAGCTAAACATGAGTTTATACCGATGTTTCTGACTCTAATCCATTACGACATAGATCATTCTAGACTCCTCCCTTGCTTATCTGTAACCTCCTACTCCAACAGTGAAAAACCTGGCTCCTACCATCCACCGTTCACTTATTGAATTGCTCAGTTCCAGTTTACATGTACAGTGGTATCAGAATTGCTAACCCATACACCCGTGGAAGCAACCTTATCAACTAGACTACAGTTTCTTTTGCCTTTATTTTTACAGAATCCACTCATTTTCAAAGTCACTTAGGTCAACACCTTTTTCCTTGCCCTCTTCAGCGAGGTTGTTGGTGATAGTTGGGGATGTTTAACTAAGTTCTGTAGATTAGAAGATTGTGTTGTATCAATGTGATTTCATGATTTTAGGTGGCACAGACAGTTTGCACTCAACTACTAACCTAAAGGTTGGCCGTTTGAACCCACAAACCAGCACCATGGAAGAAAGCCCTGGCGATCTGCTTCCATAAAGATTGTGGTTGTTAGTTGCCATTGAGTAGATTGCGACTCATGACAACCCCATGTGTGCAGAGTAGAGCTGTGCTCCATAGAGTTTTCAAGGCTGTGACCTTTCAGAAGCAGATCACCAGGCCTGTCTTCTGAGGAGCCTCTGAGTGGGTTCAAACCACCAATCTTTCAGCTAGTAGTCAAGCGTTTAACCGTTTGTTCCACCCAGGGACACTCTGTAAAGATTCGTTGTTGTTGTTGTCAGGTGTCGTCAAGTCAATTTTTTACTCGTAGCAACCCCGTGTGACAGAGTAGAACTGCCCCATATAGTTCCCTAGGCTGTAGCAGATTGCCAGATCTTTCTCCCACAGAGCTGCTGGGTGAGTTTGAACTGCCAGCCTTTCAGTTAGCAGCCAAGCACTTAACCTTTGCCCCACCGAGACTCTTTCTGTAAAGATTACAGCCAAGAAAACTCTATAAACCAGTAGTACTCTGTAACACACGGGGTCGCCATAAGTCAGAATCAACTGCCACAGGTTTGGATTTCCCATAGTTATATAAGGTGTTAACATTTGAGAAATCTGTGTAAAGGGTACACAGTAATTCTTGTACTATTTTTGCAACTTTTTTAAGTCTGAAATTATTTCAAAATGAAAAGTTAAAGAAACAATGAACCCCACAAGAATATTGCCCTTGATTCTTCTTTACCGTAAGTACATAGGTGCCTTGGCGGCACAGTGGTCAAGTGTTTAGTCGCTAACCAAAAAGTTGGCAGTTCAAATCCACCAGCTGATCCTTGGAAACCCTATGAGGCAGTTCTACTTTGAATACGGTCACTGTGACTCAGAATCGACTCAATGGCAACGGCTTTGGTTTTTTCCTAAGTACATAAGGATATTAATGTCATTCACTGAAATGGCCGCTCCGACTGCATCCCAGACATTTTGAGAAGGGGTGTGTTCCTCATTCATCTGTTACAGATACAAAAAATCTACATGTAAGATGTTTACTTTTTATAAGAGCGTGGTCGTTTGAAATGTGTTTTATAAATTTTCACATCTGTGAGAAGGTTATATTCCTCTTCTTTGCTATTAATTTCCAAATTAATTGTACTGAAGGAGAGGACATGATCTTTGAGATAAACAAGACCTCAAAGAGATGATAAAATCTGGACACCTTGACCAAAATCAAAGTGCTGGCAGCTCTCGTTCAGTCCAACAGCTGAGTGCCCATGCGGTGCGGGGTTCAATTACCCTCAGAAAGGGGGAGCTTGAGGGAGCCCATCGGGCCATTTTGTTTATGGACCATGAACTTAATACACAAACTGTTCCCTCTTGTCTCTCTCAGCCCTCAGCCTCCACCACATCGGGAGCTCAGGGCTGCATCTCTCCCTCAGCACCCCTGGGCCCTGGAGACAGGGTCCACGTCTGGGCCCCGTGTCCCCCAAGGTGTTAAAGCTGTGCTCTGTGAGTCAGGATCTGTCACAAGAAGAGGAGACAGCAGAGCCAAGCCAGGTGGGTGGGCCCAGGTAGGCGGGCCCAGGTGGGTGGGCCCGGGTGGGGAGGCAGGTCCCTGCCCACTGGGCTGCCTGCCCCTCCCTGGGCCGCTGACTCAAGAGCCCCAGGAAGAATTCCCCAAGCAGGTCCACCCAGCGACTCCACCCAGCTCCATCAGGGCCCAGCTCAGGTCTGAGGTGGTGGGGGAGGGGCCCAGGTGAGGGACCCTGCGGTGAGTCCCTGTGGGGGGACAAAGGACCTGGGGGCAGGAGGACAGATGCAAATGAAAGTTTGTGTGCTGGAGGTGGGACTGAGGGGCAGGGAGGAGAGAGGACTCCAGAAGTGTGTGATGATAGGGATGAGGAGGGGGCTCTGGGTGAGGGTTCCGTCTCTGCCTTGCCCCTCAGGCCCAGCTGCCCTCATCATGAATGCTCTCGTCCTGGTCGTGGTCCTGGTCCTGTGGTCACCCCTGGTGTGTGTAGAGACCGGTGAGGCTGAGGGGTGGGGCAGGGCGGTGCAGGGGTCTGTGCAGGGGGGCTGTGTGCCCCGTCCAGGACATTATTAGGGTGTGCCTGGGGAGCGGGACCATGTGTGCCCCGTCCAGGGCATTTGTAGGGCGTGCCTGGGGAACGGGACCATGTGTGCCCCGTCCAGGGCGTTTGTAGGGCGCGCCTGGGGAGCGGGACCATCAGGACCTGGGAGCCTTCAGGTGTGGGTGTCAGTCATAGTTCGGGAATTGTCTGTGCACTCAGGCAGGGGTGCACTTGGGGTGCAGGGCGCACCAGGGCCTGGTATGACCTGCGTCCCCACGGGGATGGCCACAAGAGGCTCAGTGACCTTGACCCCCCACCCCAGCCGAGCGTCTGAAATGCTACCAGTGCCTCAAGGCCAGCAACAACACGGACTGCAAGCCGGCCACGTGCAGCGCTCGAGAGATCATGTGCCTTTCCTTCCAGGTCGACGTCAGAATCGGTAAGCTGGGCTGGGGCCACAGTCTCCTGGGGGACCTTAGGAGGCTCAGCTGTTCTGCGCCCGAGCTGAGCTGCTCCTGCCCCAGCTACAAGGGACCCTGGTAGGGGTCCAGAGCTGTGGCCCTGGGGGCCCCAGTCCTAGGCGGCCACCCCCTCGTCCTCCTGGTGGACGCATCCACAGCCCCCACATTTCAGCTCTTTTCTCCCTCCTTCTGGAGGCCCCGTTCTTTAAAGTTGTGCTTTTAGGAACCTCAACAAGGCAAAGGGGGGCCTGCTCCCCAAATCCTGCCCCTCCCCGAGTGCCCCAGCACCTGTGGCCCAGGCTGCCTGGGCCCCACGCGATCGCGCTCTCCTGCAGGCCCCACAGACACGACGGAGATCACCAAGAAGTGCGTGTCCGCGTGTGACATGGCGTCCCTGCCCGCCCTGAGCAGCCACCCCCTGGACTTGGTCGTCAGCATCAAGGCCAAGTGCTGCATCACCAGCCTGTGCAACAGGGCCGCCTCGGCCGGCGGCGGGGGGCTCCTGCTCGGCCTGGGGCTCCGCCTCCTCCAGGCCCTGCAGTGAGGCCTTCCCCGACGCCCTCCCCCAGGACCTGCCGTGAGGACCCGCCCCCGGGGCTCTTGCCCCCCAGCTTGACAGTCTGAGGACCATCCTGCACCCTTTTCTCCAGCCCAGTCCTAGCTCATTCCCCTGTCCACTCCAGGAGGGGTCTGCCCCCTATGAAGCTGTCAATCCCTGCTCCCCCTACACCAGGGAAGTGAGTGAGGGTCCCCTGGGGAGCCCTCAGTCCAGCCTGCAGCCATCAGGAGCCAGATGAATAAAAGCATGGACAAAGGACAGAGACATGGTCGGGCAGGTGGAGAGGGTCAGCAGCGTGGGGGACACTGAGGTCACAGAGTGATGGTGGTTCCCAGAGGCCACAAGGTCACATCGCTGCTGTCGGCCAGCTGACTGCGAAGCCACAGGCCAGGTCACAGGGCCCAGCGGTCAGCAAGGGGCTCCGGCTCAGGGTAGAGCTGTCCCCTGAGCACGGCCTACCCCCGCCCCGCAGCCCAGGTGTGGGTCTACAGGATTGGGGCATGAGAAGCGGGGAGCAGGGAATTACCAGCACCTGGGGTGCCAGCCTTGGAGTGACTGTTTCCTGACCTGATGTTTGGAGCCAGGACGAAGACATTTAGGGAGCTCTCTGCCTGGGTCTGTGTTACAAGCACCCATCCCCACAAGGGCCAGAGGGGAGGGAAGGCACCAGAGAGCCCCACGATACGGGACAGAGCACCCCAGGCTGCGGGAGATCCACGCCCGAGGAGAGGCTCCAGGAGACAGTGTCTCAGGATGCCCTGAGGAGACCTGCGGTGCTTCCGCCCCGTGCAGCTCCGGACAGGTGTGAGGACACACAGGAGCCCGGGAAGCCTGAGCCCAGGTGTGTCTCGACCCCGCCCTCCTTCCCCAGGTGTGCTGGGCAGGTGGCACCCTGAGGCTAGGGCCGTGGGGCCCCTAGACCTAGACCCAGAAAGGAGCAGGAGGCCGGAGTGAGGGTCAACTTTGTGCAGCATGCCCCCATTTACTCCCCGGGACTCCCATTACCCACCCCTCATGGCCCTCCCACCCCTCACGGTGCAGAAAAGACACCCAAAACGCCTGGAGAGCAAAGGGGCAAAGTGAAGTTCAAGGGAAATAGAAAACAGCCCCAAATCATCTACAGGCTGAATCATCACATTCTTTTTATATAAAATGTTCTTCAAGACTATAGGGACGGGGAGGACCCTGGGAGCCTGAGGGCCAGTGTGAAAAGGCAGGCAGAGAGGAGCAGACTCCACCGGCAGGGGGACCTTAGGGGGGCCAGTGTCACCTCAGCAGGCACAATGAGCAAGATGATGACCCCACATTGGCCACGGGGCAGGGGCCATGGCCCCACTAAGTGGTCAGAGTGTCCATTGGTACAACCATGGGGGACAATCTGCAGCCAAATCTAAAATGTATCCATGTTATTGAGACAGATGACCCAAGTGTGCCAGTTGTCCAAGGGCTGTGCCGGCATTGTTGGGGTACTGGGAGGATGGGGACTGACTTCACGAGTTTATGGACAGCCTGACCAGGGGGCCATGATGCCTTGGAAAGGGCTGAGTCGTCTCTACCTCTCCGGGCCTGGGGAAACGAGAAAAGGAAGAGCAGCACTGACCACCTGCTGCTGAAGAAGAGTGGGGTCCTCCCTGCTCTTGATGCTCACGTGTGTTGTGTAGAGACGAGCTGAGGGCTGGAGCTGAGGGCTGGAGGTGGAGGCTGGGGCTGAGGGCTGGAGGTGGAGGCTGGGGCTGAGGGCTGGAGGTGGAGGCTGGGGCTGAGGGCTGGAGGTGGAGGCTGGAGCTGAGGGCTGGAGGTGGAGGCTGGAGCTGAGGGCTGGAGCTGAGGGCTGGAGGTGGAGGCTGGAGCTGAGGGCTGGAGGTGGAGGCTGGGGCTGAGGGCTGGAGGTGGAGGCTGGAGCTGAGGGCTGGAGGTGAGGGCTAGAGCTGAGGGCTGGAGATGGAGGCTGGGGCTGAGGGCTGGAGGTGGAGTCTGGAGCTGAGGGCTGGAGGTGAGGGCTGGAGCTGAGGGCTGGAGCTGAGGACTGGAGCTGAGGGCTGGCCCACCCGGGCCTCATGCTCTTCCAGGCCAGGACTTGGTGGGGGGCGGGGGGAGGCAGGAATGTCCCCCTGTTGCCCCAGAGGCTTCCTTTGCACCTGAGGTGGAATCAGAGACAGTGAACTGTGGTATATCTGCAGGGGCTCCCCAGTGGCTTCCTCCCCAGCCCCTCCCCAAGACTGACCCCTCTTCCTGTTAAGGCACTCTGGCCTGCACATTCTTCCTGTAAACTACCCACATCAGCACCCCAATGCCCCTTCTTTGTCTCACTGCAGAGATCCCCCTCTTGCCCTGCCCTGCACCACCCCCTCAGCCTCACCAGACTTTGCACACACCAAGGCTGACCACAGGGCTAGGACCAGGGCCAGGGCTGATCACAGGTCCAGGGCCAGGGCTGACCACAGGGCCAGGACTAGGACCAAGGCCAGGGCTGATCACAGGGCCAGGGCTGACCGCAGGGCCAGGGCTGACCACAGGGCCAGGGCTGACCACAGGGCCAGGGCTGACCACAGGGCCAGAGCTGATCACAGAGCCAGGGCTGATCACAGAGGCAGGGCCAGGGTAAGGGCTGACCACAGGGCCAGGGTCAGGACCAGGGCCAGGGCTGACCACAGGGCCAGGGTCAAGGCCAGGGCTGACCACAGGGCGAGGGTCAGTGTCAGGGCTGACCACAGGACCAGGACCAGGGCCAGAGCTGATCACAGGGCCTGGGCTGATCACAGGGCCAGGACCAGGGCCAGGGCTGATCACAGGGCCAGGACCAGGGCCAGGGCTGATCACAGGGCCAGGGCCAGGGTCAGGGCTGATCACAGGACCAGGCCCAGGGCCTAAGGGGCAGGCAGAGGTGAAGCCCTCAACCAGAGCCCCCTCCTGCCCCCACCCTCACACACTCCTCAATTCCCATCGGTCCCACCCCTTGAACACAAACTTCCCTTCCCATCTGCATCTGTCTTCCTGCCCCTCAGTCCTTTGTGGCTTTAGGGTTGCCCTGTGTGAGGGGTAAATAAGTTGAAAAACACGCTTTATGTATTAAGTTTGTGGTCCATAAACAACTATGCTTTCTAAGGGTAATTGAACCCCGCGCCACACCGGCACTCAGCTGTTAGACTGAACGAGAGCTGCCAGCACTTTGATTTTGGTCAAAGTGTCCAGATTTTATCATCTCTTTGAGGTCTTGTTTATCTCAAAGACCATGTCTTATGCTTCGATACAATTAATCTGGAAATTAATAGAAAGAAGAGGAATATAACCTTCTCACAGATGTGAAAATTTATAAAACACATTGCAAATGACCACATTCTATTTAAGAGAATCTACAGCGAAAAATCCTAGACATTACACACAAAACAAATACAAGAAGACCCTGAGAGGTGGGAGGACAAGAGCAGCCAGAAGCCTCCAGATCCACGAACAACACGGTGGTGGGCCCCCTGGATCTGCTTATTGTCACATCTGTCCCAGACTTGTAGCTGAAGAAGCCAGCCACCTGCAAATACCCACAAATACAAAAAAAAAAAAAAAAAGCCCCAACTGAAGCCTGCTCTGTCTAGCCCAGGGACCAAGAAAGGGGCAGCCTAGCAAAAGAGAAAACCTTTAGACAGTAACTGCTGTCCTGCGGCCAGACATCACTGGAAAAACTTGCAGCCCTGCCTGTCCCCACTTAGTCACTGTGTACCACCGTACCAAAAAAAATAACAAAACCCCAAAACTACCAGGAGGTGGCTTTAAAGAACAGATGTTTCTTTTCTCATAATCCTGGAGGCTGAAAGTCCAAATTCAGGGCTTCAGCTCTGGGGAGGGTCCTTCTTTGTCTCTTTCAGCTTCTATTGGCGGCTGGCAACCCCGGGCGTTCCTGGGCTTGCGGCCTTGCGGATGGGTCTGCCTCCACCCTCCCCTGGCGTTTCCCCTGTGTGTGTGTGTGTGTGTGTGTGTGTGTGTGTGTGTGTGTGTCTGTGTGTGTCTGTGTGTGTGTGTGT